TTTTTCTTTTTCTTTTTATTTTTATTTTTGCATGTTATCACCGTGCCCGTTTTTTGCTTTTATTCTTTGTTCCGCAAAGTGCGCTCTTTTATTTCGTAGTTATGTGACAATATACTCCGACGAAACAGTTTGTCACAGCCCCTCGTTTGTTGTCCTCTTCTCTCTCTATGCCTACGGTTTACCGGGCAGTTCTGTTTGTGACGATATATATATCCACACCGCAATTCACAATGTGACAATATATATATATATCCACACCGCAATAGGGTGGTGGCTAAGGCAGGGAGCGGGGAAAGGGGAAGGTGGCTCGGGTGACATGAGATAAGAACACAAGACAAGAGTGCACGTGCATGAAAGAGAGAGAGAGGGGCTCCTGCCTTCCGTCAGCCGGCACCCACCACCTTCCCCTCCTCCTGCCCACCGAAAGAGAGAGAGAGGGGAGGGGGGGAGCATGAGTGAGAGAGAGGGAGTTGGAGAGGGGGAAAGAGAGGTGAGAGAGAGAGTGCCTGGTTCTCCTTGCTGCCTGCAGTGAGCTACCTTCCCCACCTCTCTCCTCCTCCCCGTCTCCCACACCCGCCCAAAAGCCTACCAATCGGCCTTTGTATTTTCCGTTTCCGGCTGGTTTTTACCATTCTCCAGTAGCACCCGCGCAAGCAGAATGGCGTGTGGAATTGGGAGAGAGAGAAGGGGAAGCTGTGATCTGGGTCTGTGTCCCGGACTGGAGTCTGGGTTGGTGTCTGGGGCTGTGGTCTGGGTCTGTGTCTGGGGCTGCGGTCTGGATCTGGGGTTCAAGGTCTGGGCCTGCATGTGGGGTACAGGTCGAGGTCTAATGTCTGTGTCTGGGTGTGGCTCTGGTGTCTGGGGTCTGGGCCTGTGTCTGGTGTCTGATTGCACTCTGCGGGTGGATATTGGTTCTGGGGTCTGGGTCCATGTCTGAATGTGGGTCTGGGGCTGAGGTTTTCAGTTTTGGTTGGGGTCATGATTGGGGTCCGGGTGTCAGTCGAGGGTCTGGGTCTGGGTCTGGGTCTGGGTCTGGAGCTTGTGTCTAGTTCCGTCTGGGGTGTTGGTCTTGGTCTGGGATGTGGTCTGGATTTGGGCTATGAGTCTGGAGTCCAGGCCGCGGTGTGGGCCTGGGCTCTGGATCTGGCACTGGGTCTGTGTATGAAAGTGATTTCCGAGAGTTGCTGTATGCAGACCTGATGCACATGAGTATGTTAACAAAGTGCTATAGGTCATGGGCAGCCGACGGGTGGAGCTTCACATTCGACCAATATGATGATAATGATGTGCGAAGAATTGCATGTATTCTTGCATCTGAGAAAGAAGAAAGAATACCCCTTCTTTTCAAAGGGAATTGGTGCTGGCAAGGTAAGGCATCGGCCGTCAACAGTGGTTTGGAGAATGAACCGGTGAGACCGCACAACCACAAATGCATCAGCCACCATATTTTTTATGGAGGGTGAGGCCACAACACGTCATCGAGTTGAGAGTGAGAACACACCATGCTTCCCTCCCTCAGGAAGGAGCCATGGTCCGCTATCCAGCAGGATTCCCGCTCGAAATATTAGTCGGATTGACGGCCCTTCTTGTGATGTCGGAAATGACTCTGTAGCCTTATCTGTCTGCTAGTGTGTGGAGTTCCTTATCTCTAGACTCCACATGAAAGTTCAGACTGCCAAAGTGTTTCCATTTGTTTTCGATTTGGTGTTGGCTCTTTTTATCGCCACCTATGTTGACTTTGGATTTCAATCTCAAATTCTGAGTGTGATTTCAGCATGGAAGTGGCTTCTTGCAGTGAGTGGGCTTTGGTCTTGTGTTCTTCTACTTTGCGCTTATCCTCGTATCACTGTCTGGATGCGCGTAACTGGCAGTGGGCTGTTGGTCTCAAAGGCGAGGTGAGGGTCTTGCAGGCATGTGGATTTGGAGAGGATTTCAACATGACCGCTGCATTTGCTGTGTTCTGTCTGTTTTTCGTGCCTTAGATTCTTGGACCTGTGTTTCCAGGCCAGAGCCTTCCTTTTCCAGTACATTTGGCAGAGTCAGGTCCTATTAGCTGGAGGCCATTCAACTCCACATATGTATGGTGCGAGCCCATTTCCTTAGCAAACCTAAAGACAAAAGCAACATCAGACCGGCCAGGATTACAAAGATCAGTTGTATGTCCGCCGGCATCGGTGCGAGATGATGCTTTTCGATCATGCATTACAATTACAGAGAAAGGTGTAGAGTTGCTCGGCAGGGGCAGAAAGGATGCTGACAGGTCTGAGGAGCCCAGCGATGGCACTGGAGGAGTCATCTTGACTGCGAGCGGACGATGTGGAGTACTTGGGGCATCCTCAGAGACTGGGATGGGCAACGAGTGCGCCTTCGTTGAAAGAACTATCATCATCTCCCCGCCTCTGGCTGTTGAGAACTGGCTGCCCTGCACCACGGAAATCATCTTCCGCAACGGAGCTGGAGCAATAGTAACAGAGTTGACAGCTACAGAGGTACACACATGCAACCACACTCCCTTCCCCTCCTCTCCGCACAGGTTCATGAGTCATGTTCTTTTGAAGCTAGATCTGAATCAAACAGGATCACAGTCTATCGATTAAACTTTGATCTTTTGAAGTCCTCCCTTTACCAGTATAACGAAGGGAGGCGGTGTGTTTCTAATGTAAGTGACGCTGGACTCGGTTTCCAGCTTTTATGACGATATATAACTGTTTATTGAAAGGAAAAAGTTTTGTTTCCCAAATTCCCAGCCATTTTTCCATGGTAACCGCGGACCCGGACACCGGACACTTCCGGACTGTTTTCCGGACCTTTTGTCTGGACCAATCCGGACATCACCGGACACCGGACTGTCCGGACTGTGTTGGCAGGGACAAGATGTCCGGGAAAAAAAAAAAAGAGGCGGGGAGGGAGCTCACCTAGTTCGCGCTTCGTGGCGGAGCACCTGTTGGCAGGGACAGTGTACTACAAAAGATCAACAACAACAACAAATCAATCAATCAATCAATCAATCAATCTCCCCGAACCTCCTATCCCCCCATCTTTCCCTCT